CATTTAATTAAAATAATTGATATAATAATAATGATATAATTAATAATAATTTTTATATTTTTTAGTAAAGATTAATATAAAAATAATATGATAATTATATTCTTATCACGTGTAATAAAACAAAAAGTTAGAAGAATTTTAAAAAAGTACAAGATAAGCTTCCATGGTTCCATACCTTCTTTGTTGAAACATGATTGATAGCACCTTGATTAAAAGCGGCATTTGATGGATCAACAAGCCATATTTTCGTAGAAGATTGAGAATTAAAAGCAGCGGCCGCAGAAAATGTTCAAAAGGGTTATTGTATTCTTTACTTACGAAACTTTTAAAAGAAAAGAGAAAAAAAAGTGCCTATTCAAAAGGGAACAAATTTGTCTTACTGATGCTGTTTAATCTTTAAGTAATTAATTGAGGTACAAAGATGACTTAATTTTTATCAAAATTTAGGATAAATCATTGAACATAATGGGTGATTGTGGTTGATTATAGAATACCAATAAAAAAAGAAAGAAAGAGCGAGGTATAACTAGATGGTGAACAGAAGCAGCATGTTTAATGTATAACAAAAGAAAGAAATGAAGAGCACATTTGCAATAATTCTCAAAGAAAATTTGAAGACCTATAATTATTAATTTATTTTATTTTTCCCTTTGATTGGAATTTTGATTTTTCCCTCCTTTTTGAGGATGGGTGGGTGCAAAAGTAGCAGCTTTTTTTTTTTAAGAAAAAAAAAAAAGATAAATGGTTTTATGATTGGTCTAACAATTTCTTTAGTCATATACATTATGAGTTAGATTCCTTAATTAACAAAAATTATTTTATAAATAAAATTTTAAATTTTAGTTTTCATATTAACACTTAAATTTTTTTTTTCTCAAAATGTATCACACCAATTTAAAAGCATCCCTTTAAAATCATTTAAAAACATGCACAAAAATCGATACATAGACGCCCTATCCATGAAATAGAAGAAGTCGTATGCATCACGCTTTGAAAAATGGGGCGCTATCATTGTTGAATTTGACAAAAAAAAACTTTTTTTCTCAAATTAAAACTCATCTTTTAATTGTTAACGTTGATTTGGAATTTTCTTAGAAAGCCCCCGTTGGTTTTTCATCCTAATAATATGCAAGCCTTTAGGTAATTTTATGCTAAAAAATTAAAATTTTATATAAATGATATGCTACATTCTCTTGTTAGATTAAATTGTTCTAATTTAAATTTTATATAAAGCTTAATTTGATAATTTTATGTCTATTTTGTTTTTTTTATATAGTTTTATTTTGACTTTTTAACTTATCAAATATAAATTTTAATTGAAATTTAACAATTCTTATAAATATCAATTGAAAAGGATTTTTTAACATAAAGTTCTTATCAAGTATTTTTATTTAGTCAAAAAAATTTAATTATTATTTATATAATATATTAAATTACATCTAAAATTTATATTTAAAAAGTTAAAAAATTAAATTAAGAATGAAGGGAGTATGTTAATTGAATAGTAATTAATTTTTTTTTAAGTAAAAAAATACTTAACAAGCACTACTTATAGAAAGAAATAAATTTTCAATTGTCATTTATTTATTATATAAAATCATTTAATCAAACTTTATGTAGAAGTTAAACTAAAATAATTAAATTCAATTGAAAGGAGTAGTAAATATCAATTACGTTATTAGTTATTAGTTAAGAGTTATACCTACTAATTATTTTTATTAGTCAAATTAAATGAAATCAATATTTTTTTAAAAAAGTAAGATCAATTTACATATAAGTTTTATATATTACATTTGTATAAAATCTTAATCATTCATATTTTTATTTTTAATAATTAAGATTTATTATGATATTTTAAATAATAAATATAATAATAAAATAATAAAATTTTAATTATTAAAAATAAAAATAAAAATAATAAAAATAATATTTTACAATGTTAATTATCATAATATTATTATTACTATTAGTGCCCATATGCCATATCAATAGAACCCTGATTTCCCTCTGGAAATTCTTAAAAAAAAAAAAAAATGGTCCTGCTGCTTTTCTACAAAGCATTAAGGTTACTCTGACTTATTATTCTCTATCGGCGTGACGGCGTCAGTTTTCAGTTGAACAGTTTAACTTCTGGACCAGGCCTCTTCTCATCTCAGTCTCAGTCTCAGCCAGCCAAGACTTGGTCAATAAATGTAGGCACGTGATCCTATCGGATGTTAAAATGAGTGTTTATTGAAGATGTCAAATGTTGGATCTCGATGAGAATGTTATCTGTTTGTGATGATGTCTTTGATGCAATTGAATGCTTATTTTATTTTGTCACTCCAACGGTCCAACCTCTTCACTCGAACGTTCGGTGGTTTATTATTATTATTGTTATTATTTTTTAATACCTTAACTTACCAATTATATTATATTATGTTATAAAATAAAAATTATTGAATGTAAAAAGAGCTCGCAAAATTAAGGAAATATGTTTTTATTGAATAATAAATATAATATTTTTTTATTATTATTTTAACATAGGAAATTTGGTGAAAGGGAATTGAGCAAAACAATACTTTAAATCTTTGAACTTACCTCATATTTTTAATTAAAGTAAATAAATTCTTAAATTTAACAATTTAAATAATTTAATTTTTTTCTTTTGGTATATTTAATGTTCGTTTGTATTTTATTTGCATAGACAATATTATTACTTGCCACGTAAATAATGACAAGTCAATATCTTATCCAGGCAAGCAAGACATATATTGGTATTAAATTCATCGCAAAGAAAAATGGTTAAATTACCTAAATTATCAAATTTAAAAGTTTATTTAGTTTAGTAAAAATTTAGAAGTTTGCATCAAGAATCTAAGATGATAACTTCAAGAGTTTAACATAAGATTTTACAAGGAATTGGTTTTACAAAGATTAGGTCCTATTTTTGGTGAAACTATACCTTATCCAATGCAGCTAGTGTTGTGGGTGTATATTTAGTATTATTATTACATATAAGATTTGTACACCACATTATAAGTATTTGTACTTCCAAAATTGTTAAGCTAATAGTAAGTATTAATTGTATCAACCTATTGGTTAAATTTTATTGTTAATAGTTTTAGTGGTGGTGGTAGTAAATCCCTTCTTTTTGCACGTCACTTATATATATAAAGAAAAAAAAAATTGTCCTCAAACCACTACTTAGTCATTGTCACTAGAACTTCCTTGCTAAGTGCCGTTCAAAGGAAAAAAACTTCCTTGCTAAGTAGTATAATTAAAATAATCAATACAACAAGCAACATACGGTCTATATATTCTCTTCTCCTTAAAATTCTAGTTTGGTAGTTGTACTAGACTACTAGTAATAAGGATTATATATAGGAGAAAAGACAGAAGAATATGGTTTGGGAATAAATTCTTGAAAAAAACACCAACCTAGATGCACACCAAACCAAACCGCTGTAGTTATGTTCATATTTAAATTTGTTAAAGCCACACAAATGGTTGACTTTTTAAAAAAAATTTAGTAATTAAGAACATATAATTAATTAATAACATAATTAATATTTATTATCTAATAAATTAAAATTAATTTATAAATTAATATTTTTATAACATAATTAATTATTTAAAAATTATAAATTAATAAAAATAACAAAATTATGTGTTCATATATAACAAATGTATATTGCCATGACTATACCACTTTCTAAACAAGAAGCCTACCTACCACCAAGTTGCCTTGCACCACAACTTAAAAAAAAAAAAAAAAAGAAGCCTCAGCATCACGTGAATGCGTTGCCTACCCTTTAAAATGAGGAGTGTATACTACTGCATATCACATGACACCTGCATGTTTTCTTTTCTCGTCTGTCCTATATGCTAGCCGCACATCATCAGGAAACCCTACTTCCATTTCTAAAATAATTTATTTAAAATCTTATTATTTTTTTTATTTTCAACTCCACATCCACGCCATATATGACACCCCAAAAATAAGAATGATGTTCAATTGTCCATAATGTTCAGTCAGTCATTCCATTTTTTGTTTAGATATTCCACTTATTAAATTCTCATATGTGCTTTTATTTAGATGTTTTATTTGTTACTAGGACATTAAACATTTTTATTTTAAATTTACTCATATTACGTGTAACTTATTAATCAATTAATGAATTTTTTTAATATGTTAAGTGATAAATTATATAATAAAAAATAACTATTTAACCTTCACAAATCATTCTCTATTTATCCCATAATTTGAATATGAAATCTTTAATATAAATGCTTAAATTTTTAACTAAGAATAAAAAGAATGTGTTTCCTCAATGCTTACCCTCCCTCTGGCCTTCCAAGCCAAAAGAGAATCAAAATCTGCAAATTATCAATAGAATGTAATCTCACTTAAGAATAAAAAAAAAAGAAAAGAAAAGATATCAAGGCATTTAATTGTAATTATTAAATATTTTAAACAAAATATGAATTTAAGTTTATCACTTTCATCAATTAAATATTATTAAACACTTTAATATATATATATATTTTTTAATATTAAGGTAGAACTCAAACCCCACCTTTCAAGTTAACATAAAAAAACTTTTAAAAGAGCTCAGAAGCCATTAGACCATAAGATAATTCTCAAACTTCTTAATATTTTTAATATTAAACTCTACTAATTTTTCATTTTCTCAAGAATAAATACATAAAATTTCAAGTCCTGATCATCCTGATATTATTAAATATTTAATGCGCGTTTTTTATTGTGCAAATATTCAGTGTGACAACAACATCTGGAAAAACGGGGTATTTAGTGTGACGACAAAATGTTCATTGTTGGGTAGGTCTGATTAATTGCGATACGGACACCCAAACAAACAGGAACAGCTGTTGCTGTAGCTGATTAATTTCATTGTACTGCAAAGAGAATAATACAGACAAGTTGCGTGATAGACTTTTAGTCTTACGTATACTCAACGCTTAGAACAATAATTAAAGAAGAAAAAAAAAATTAAGGTCCTTACATCAAATAAAAAAAAAATTAAGGTCCTTAATAGACTGCGATGCCAGGATTTGATTCGGGAAATCGATGGTGCCTACCCACGCAACAACGGGAAGCATCTGTAATTGTTCAAAGTCCAGGAGCAGTGCCTGCTTTGTGGCAGATATATGCACATGGAAATCTTCTTCATCAAAACTAATTAACTCATTATTTTAGTAGTAATTAATTATTTCTTTATTGGCCTACTTGATAAGATCAATTTTTTCAATGATTTTAAACTTTAAAGTCAACAAATTATAAGAAAATGATGGACTTCATTCAGAGCATCAAGCGATTCTGCCTACCTAACATAGTAGCTGCAGGCCCAAAAGGAAAAAAACACACTCACACACAAGGTAGTAGCTGCAGTTTATGATCTAAACTCCATGCTAGAAAATGCACTCCACAAATAGCATCCGGCATCTCATACATGTAGTCTAATCCAACACTGGAGCGAATTGGAACTTCTAATTCTTATAACACCATAAGTTGAGCCGATCTGTTAAACGCCAAATGTGGGGACGGAGACCAACTCCAGGACCTTAAATAGCTCAACAATCATTCATGGTATCCTCAAATCATTCAATATAGCAAGAACATCATTCTTTTCTTCTAAATATGTTGGAGAGGACCAAACTCAAGATAAGTTCTGAGTCGTATTACCATGCCTTGAGATTTAAGCATTTGTATGATAAACCGTGAATAGGACAGCCTAGTTCAAGACACCATTTGCCTCCTTGCTTGTGTAATAACCGGCAGGCTCTTCCCACTGTCAATCTCATTGTTAACAGACATACACATTGAGGATTGACCATGAATGATCACGTAGGGGGAAAAAAAAGAAAAAAGAAATAGAAGAGATGAATATGAAGAATGAGTGAACTTTAAATAATGCTTCAACAGCATAAAAGTGAAATATAACTACAAATGTTTGCTGCCCAAATTGTTGTTCTGTAAAAATTTTCAACTTTCAACATCCCTTAATCAGAGATTTTGAGAAAAATAACAATGACAATTTAATTCGCTAACCCATCTGCCAGGACACATGTAAAAAAGAAACAGAGAAGGTGGGGCTGAAAGTAATCCGGTGTATTCAGATGGCACAAAATTCTCTAACTACATACTTCTAAGCTGCCCAGCATGAATGATGTTAACTTGAAGCATAAATCAGCAGAACAAGCAGTAAGAAAAAAATCAAAGAAAAACAGATTTCTAGCTAGAACACCATTAAATGTTCGAAAAACCAGAAGCTAATTTCTGATCTTCAGACTTACCTCTCACTAGAATACATGTGTTGTATATTGTTCAAACAGTACAAATTTTTTTCATTTTAAAACCTTAAAACTGCTTCCTTTTGTTTCTGAAAAGTCTGTCTCTTTTAGCATAAGCATAAAAGAGTGCAAGGAAACTAAAAGCAGAGAGTGATGCTGAAGCCCATGGAAATGGGGGGTCCTTGAAACATACAAGTGATGCCTCAATTTCTTGAGATGCATGGTAAACAAAGGAGTGCATAGCAAAAAGATCATGATCTGAGGACCTCAAGTAAAACAAAGCCATCTCGAAGTCGAAATGTGACAAAGCAGAAACTGCTTTGTCCAGCTTGTGCTTGAACAAATTCCACCTCTGAGTGAACTCAACATGCTGGCTCTGTTTAAGGAGATTTCTCTCCCCACCATGTGCAGATATAGAGTCAAGAACATCAATGGCACTTGTTATACTGGAATTCAAGTATGTCAAAAGAACATTTCTCCGAGCAGCATCCTTCTGCACAAAGGACAGTGATGAAATCTCTGAAAATGGTCCAAATGGTGTCTGTCCAATACTCCAGGTGTAATCCACCAGAGTACTATTGTGCATTGGGCTCCATGACAAGTGGGTAGGTGACACTCCCCACATACTCTGTAAAATGGAACCAACAATTGGTCTCTCAAGCTCTCTTGTTCTGGTAAACACATGACGACCATTACAGCTATAATCACTCACAGTCTGAGTATTCTTTGTTCTCACAGCAATAACCATATCTCTGAAAGCAATAGACTGATGATACCGGTCCAGCAGCAACAGCATGTTAATGTCCAAATCAAACACATAAACAGGAAGAACCCTGCCCATATCCTCCTCTGGCAAGCCTGCAACCCTCCTAAACTCCTCAGCAGAGCTAGATAGTATCTGATGCAGACGCTTTGAGTCTAAATACTCACTTACAATCAAAGTATAATTATCAAACAAGAACCTAGAAGTATAAGAATTGATTGACCGTGAAATAGCATAAGAGCAAATCGAACAGTCGTCAAAGTTTACACTGTAATACTTAAAACTCAGAGACTGATCCCCCAATAACAACCCCCCATCATTGACCTCATCCATAAACGTCCTCTCAATAGTTTTCCAATCCAAACCAGTAGAATCCTTGCTCTCAGACGTATAAATATGAATAAACTGAACAATCAAAGAGTTGTCAAAATGCACAGGAATTCTCAAAGAGGGCACAACGAGTACCTGATAAGCACTGTAAATTAAAGAGGCCAAATCCGCAAGCAACGCCTTCTGCGACTTGGGTCTCCCATGCAACGATGCAAGAGGGTGAAACTCCCCTCTAGGCAGAACCCCATCTCCGGACAAAGCAGGCCCATAATCTACTGGTCCAGCTCCAAGATCAATCCAGAAATACCTCTCTTTTCCAGTCCAGACACTACCCAAACATTTGGTGAACCCAGGAGATGCATCTCCATGGGAGTAGCTATAAGCGTACGATTTTGAAGTTGAACCCAGAGAAAGAATGTATATATAAACACCTTCCACGGGTTTTTCATTCTCAAAATCCTGCTTAATGATATGGTCGATCAAATCATGCGGGATTGAAAGGAGAGAGGAGCGGAGAGGAGAAACCGTAGAGGAAATGAGGGATTCGAGGGTCGTGGAAAGGCGGGAGGAAAGAGAGGCAGGAGAAAGGGAGACGTCAAG